GAACTGGGCGACTGCAGCGCAATTGGCACCTCCAAGGAAGTGCGAGGCATAATTTGGACCCCCTGAAGGCGCACTCCGCACGACCGCCCACCTGCGCTCCAGCCTGCGCTCCACTCAGCCTGCGCTCTCGCACGCGCCCGACCTCTCTGCGCGCGGCGGGGGAGGGCAAATCGCGATTGAGATCCAGGGTGATCTGACTGCCCCGGGGTCCAACAAGAGCCCTCCAAAAGGCTGGCTGAGTGGGGTACAGAAACCTCCCATCATGACTTGTTTTGTTTCACGATACCAGCAACAGGCGTGCGTCTGCAGGCCACAGCGGCGGGGCGGCGGGGGGCCGCGATGAGTTTCAGGATGGACGTCCAGAGCCCGGCGAGCGGGCGGAGCTCCTGTCAGGGGGCTGGACCGCGAGACGCGCGTCGCGGCGCACCCTGCGACGCCTCCGCCGTCGCCGCCTTCGCCGTCGTGGTCGTGGTCGCCCCTGCCTCCTCGAAGCCTCCATGGGGACCCGCCCCACAACGCCTCCAGAGGCACGCCTCTGGGCACCCGGGCCTCTGGTGGCGCGGAACAGGTCGAGGCGGCCAGCTCCTCACCACACGCAGGCCTTCCAGAGTGCTCCAACGTACAGGCCGATCCAGCCTGCTTCACACCACGACGGGCATTCAGATCCAACAAAAAACGTGTTGCTGCAATCGGAGGGGTCCAGGAGGGAGAGGGGGGGGGGCGCAAATCATGGCCAGCGGCATGTGCGCGGCCCAGGGGGAAGCCGGGACGTATTGAAATAAGAAGAGGCGCCATGACATCCGAGGAGATATCATGGCCCCTGCCATGACATCCCCCCCCACCCCTGGTGATCACCCCCCTTCCTGACCGCCCCCGATACATCTTAGCCCTGCGAGGGTCAGGGGACTGTCAAGGTCATGTGGCCTCCCGGGGCCGGTTAGTCGGGCCCCGTGGGCCACCAGAAGCCACCAGGGACAGGCAGCACGACGGCCCCACTGGAGTCCAGAGATCCTCGCAACTGTCGCCGCAGCCGTCGTTGTCGTCGCCGCCGCCGCCAAGGTCGTCGCCGCCGCCGCCGCCGTGGGGGTCGCCCGCGTTGTGGTCGTGGAGGTGGCGCTGCCCCCCCGCGCGTCGTCGTTGCCACTGTCGTGGCCGCGTCGTCGTGGCCGCTGTCGTCGCCTTCGCCGTCGAGCAGCCTCACGGCGCCAGGTGCCCGCGGGGCGGAGGGGAGGCGCTCTGCTGGGCGCGCGGGGCCGCGCTGCACAGGGGAGCCAACCGCGCGAGGCCCGAGGTAAAGGAGGAGGAGGAGGAGGAGGAGGAGGAGGAGGAAGAGGAGGAGGAGGAGGAGGAGGAGGAGGAAAAGGAGGAGGAAAAGGAGGAGGAGGCGGAGTAGGAGGAGGAAAAGGAGGAGGAGGCGGAGGAGAAGAAGGAGGAGGAGGAGGAGGGGAAGTCGCTAATCCGAAAGCCCTTATAACGGCGACGAGGCGACGATCGAAAGCAGTGCCCCGGCACTGCTTTGAACGCGTTCAAAGCAGTGCCCCGGCACTGCTTTGAACGTATGATATGATGATATGATGATGATTATGATTGATGATGATGATGATTTTTCCAGCGTACACTGTCCGCAACTGCGGCAATCAACATCATGCTCCACTTGCCCGCAACTGCGGCCATCACCAACGCTGCGCCTCGAAGCTCCACGGAGGGCGCTCGGCAGGTCGCCCGCTCGAGCCCCACTCGACTTCACGCTGAGGAGGCGAGCCCTCAGGGGCATTGTCCGCAACTGCGGCATGATCAGAGGGCCACCACTGCGCGCCATCAGCGCCCCATTCGCTCGAGCTCCAGTCCCACCAGGACCAGCCCTGCCATCTCGTGGCGGGACTGCGCGCCTCCCATGCGCCGCTGCCGCTGGCGTCCCAGGACCCAGCCGCCACTGCGGCACAAGAAGGGGTCGCATCGTCGCCGTTGGCAGCTTGCGGCGGTGGCGTGTTCCCAGCTCGCTCAGCCCCAGCGTCTCTCCCCGCAACTGCGGTTCCCATCTGGGGTCGGACGCCCTTCCCCGCAACTGCGGTGTCCGCGTAGCTGCCCTTCTTGCCGCCCTTCTTGCCGCCCTTCCTGCCGCCCTTCCTGCGTTCCAACCTCGCGGCGAGTCTTTCAGGTGACCTGCGGCACGTATTGTGCGTGAAAGCCACCAGAGGGAAGTGCGCTCCGTGCCTCGCCCTGCCGAAGGCGCCATGCCATATCTTGTCGTCGAGGTTGCCCTGCTTCACTCTGAAGGGATAGCGCACCCAATCGTCGCGTTCCCTGCGCGCCATCCTTTGCTCGAACTCCGCATCTGCGGTCAAGGATTCGCCAGATGGCGTCAGGAAGGCGCGCATCTTGTTTTCAACGGGCTCAGCCTTGGGCACGTAAGTCTGAAGCATCTTCCCAGGGCCATTCGTGTAGTCGAAGACAGGGAAAGACGGATCATGCTGGGTCGTCAAGAATCCGCCCTCACGGTCGTGCAGAACACTCAGGCCATGGTGAAGCTTGTACTGCCCAGGACAGTTTATGAACAAAATCGCCATGCTGTCTGCCCTGGGCTGGCCGCCTGCTGTCTTCCAGGGGGTCCACGCGGCGACGTCCACAGTCAGGCCGCAATTGCGGCACCAGGACACAAGCTGGAACATGCACATGTTGAAGTCCCCCATGCAGACCTTCACGTCCCATTCCCTGACGTAGGCGACGAACCAGTTGTAGAACTCATGGAGCTTCGTGACGCCCCAGTCTTGGTTGGCCAAGCTGTGGTGGACGTGCACCGCCATGACGTTGAAGGAGCCCCCCAAATGGGGCACGGCCTGGTCCAGGTGGACGCGCACCACCATCGCCCTGGAGTACTTGTTGTGCAGCTTTGGCGCAGGAGCCTCCGCAACTGCGGACTGTTTCTTCTTCTTCTTCGTTTTGGACTTCTCCTGCTTGTGGAAGATTCTCGCAAAGTCTACGTGTTCAATGTGGCCGCCACTGCGGTCCCTCATGCCAACAAGGAGGGTCCCTGATGGCTCGCCGCCCTTAACGCACAGGTAGTTGTATTGAGTCCGACTCCGAAACCTATCGTCCGCAACTGCGGCTGCACTGTCCCTCGCGTCGTGCTCCCCACTGAGTACCGCGCAGGTCTCGTCGTCGCACTCGCAGAGGGCGATGATCTGGGCAGGGTTCGCGCGGAGCTGCGCCCACTCGTCCGCGCGTTGCGTGGGTCTAGCTGCAGTCCCTCCGAAGTTGGCCACGTAGAAGCCGACCCGTCCCGCTTCGAACTCCGTTTTCTCCTCCCATGCGTCGACAAGAGCTCTTTGTTTTTCCGACAGATTGCTTGTCTCGATGATGGGCACCCGTTTCCAGGTTCTCCGCGACGACAACACTCTCGGCATGTAGGAGTCATGTGCTGCCGCAACTGCGGCTCCCGCACCTCCCCGGGACTCAGCCTCGTCAGCGGAGGCAGCCGAGGACGCGACGGTGCTGTCGCCATCTTGCGTCCGCTGGTCGTCGTCATCATCCGCAACTGCGGCTTCCTCGTCTTTGCCTCCCTCCTCCTCCTCAGCGTTGTGGATGAACACCGTTCTGGCGAATCGAAGTCCACGGTCCATACTCCCTGAGGATGCGCTCGGGCGCGCGGGCGGCCACATGCTTGCGTCTTCGCGTGCGCCACCTCGAGCCACGGTGGCTACGGAAATGGATCGTGAATGGGCATGGGGTCGGATGGAGGGAGGAGACAAAGAGGATTCGAGGAGTGGCAGAAGGAGGGCGAGGACTCAAAGGAACCGAAAGAACAACAAATGGACTGGCGGAGAAGCAGAAGGAGGGCGACGATTGCAAGGGACTGTGAAAGGATTATTTTCACAGCAGCAGGAAGACCGCAACTGCGGTTTTGCCTCATCTCCTGCCCGCGCGGGAGCCGCTTGGAAAAACAACTTCCCTCTGGACTTCCTGTGGGTCCGCAACTGCGGCCTGCATCACGCTAGGGCTGGGATTACCAGCGCCATTTGCCCTCCCAGGGTTCTCACTGTTTCCGAATGCACGAACTGCGACAGCGCCGAACGGTTCCCAGACGCCGCGTCGTTCGCGACTTTTTGCAGCCACCCAGCAAACGTGAGCGGCCATTGCTCCTTGTGCTGCTTGCACATCTCCTCGTCCCAATGCGTCTTGAACCATGCCCACTCCCCCCTCTGCTCGTCTGAGAGGACGCCTTTTCCGCGAGCCAGGCGATCCAGAGCTGCCATCCTGTTTTTCTTGATCTTGAACTCCTCGGGATTCCACTGCGCTAGGGCGTGTTTGTTAGCCAAAGCCGTTTCCACCGCAACTGCGGCCTCCTTCTTTGCCCTCAAGGCGGCCTCGGCCTCTCGAATCTGCTTCTTGAGATCGTGCAACGCCTTCGTCCTGTCGTTCGCTTCCAGAGCCAGGCGCCGCTTTTTCGCCACCACTGCGGCTTCGTGGTCTCGCTGGGCAGTCAACGCTCGTAGGACCTCGTTGTCCTCCCGCGCCAGCTCTCTCAACCGCTTCTTTTGTTTGTGTCGTTGCTGTCGGCAATCCTGCGCTAGTTTCTCCATGCCCACTTGGCGCAGCATATCTTCCGCCTCGCGGAGCGTTTCTGCCAAGGACGTCGCCACTGCCACCTGCTCGGCCGCCTCTGCGTCGACCACGCAGTCCATGGATACCGAGGATCCTTGAGGCCCAGGTGCCGCAACTGCGGCATCGCACTGTTCCGCAAGAGCCTCGGCCCACGAGGCCTCCTCTTGCTCTTCGTCCTCCTCGTGCTCCTCGTGCACCTCCTCCTCCTCCTCCTCCCCGCCCTCCTCATCGCCCTCCTCGTGGCCTGGCTCCTGGCCTAGCGCTTCGTCGCCGAGCTTCTCCAACACGGAATCTGTGGCGTCGTGTTTCTCGTATTCGTGTATGAGACGCAGCACGTCATTGTAGGACCATTTCAAACGTTTCTGCTCGCATTCTTCCCTCACCTCCGCGACTGCGGTGTCCACTTTTGCTCGCAGCCCCCCTGCTTCCCAGAGTTCCGCCGCCTCTCGGCAAATCTCGAGATCTCCTGACTTGTCGAAGGGCGCTCGAATTCCCACTTTCAGGAAACCTTTCGCGGCGTCCAAGTGCAACTGCACATTCTCCAACACTGACAGCATCAAGTCGGCGCAATCGGAACGCCGCAACTGCGGCACGTGCTTCCCCAACGCCATTTGCTGCACCAGCGCTTTGGTCTCGAGGGCAATGTACCGGCGCTTCACGTGCTGGTTCAAGTCCGTGTCCACGGGCTGCGCAACTGCGGTCGTCCCCCCGCCGTGAATGATCAGCACGTAGCCGCGCTGCCAGGCGAGTCTCCGCACAGCGTCTGCTTTGTGCGGGGAATGGT